CGTGGGACAAGGCGACCCCCCGAATCGCGAAGCACCTCGGTGAAAAACCGGCTCCAGCACCGCGAAGCAGTTCAGCAGCACCTTGGTACCTGAATAGCGATTCGGCAACAGGTCGACGCTCGGGTCGCGAAATTTTTCAAATGCACGCTACAAAACGGGTTTTACAAAAAATCCTCACCCGACCTTATTCCTAAGCTGATCTCTCGCGACGGCATAGGTCGGCGCAGGATGGCCTCCTGAAGAGAGGGAGGGGACGATTGTTCCCAGGCTAATCTCTCGCAATAGCATAGGCGGGTCGGGGATGGTCTCCTGGAGAGAGGGAAGGGAAGGAGAGAGGAGCGATTTCTTACCTAACTTTCTCCTTTCGTCGCTGCACCCCATCCTCAGCCGGCTCCCAACTCACCCTTCAATCGTCGTGCTGCCCTCCCCCCTTTCCCCCTCATCACTACGCTCAACAATCCGCAACCCCATCTCCCCCTCCTCCCTCGCCTCGCTCTCACCAATGGACACCAAACTGAAACTGACAAGATCCCTGGGGGAAAGGAGGGCGACAGGAGTACCGAGCAGACTTTTGTACAGTAAAACAACTGCTACCTAAGCGAAGGGGCCCTCCCCTGCCCTACCCTTCCCCCTGAATCCGCCAATGCGCAACAGAAGTATTATTCGATGGTTACAGGTAGTTTAGTGCAACACACTATAGAAAGCGCATTGTGCAAAATAGGTAAATTCAGTGAATCTTTCTGAGGACTTAGTGACGCTACCTGCGTCCCTAGTAAATATGAAGCAGGCACCTGTGTTATAAATGCAGAGAGGATCCGAGTCTTCTCTGCCAAGCCTGGTGCGTTGCAGTCTGTGTTTGAAAGTTGTCCGGTGAGCAATTTTCCCGCCAAAAATTTCAATCGCCGTACGTGAGAACCACGCATACCTGTGGAGTGAATCCGAAATTTTTAAGTTAGACAGGGAACATTCCGTCAAAATTTCAGCTTTCCGGCATTTGTGGTTCCTGAGCTAACAGTTTCTCGGTCAAAACTTCCGTGTGCTCGTATGCGGGACCCAGAAGTGCGTGGAGTTGCTACCGCGATCTTGGGACGGCACTTAACCGACGAACCCACTGGCAAAGTTTTAGCGCCGAAACCTGCTTGGTTGCCGAGTTAAAATTACCGGACAGACAGACAGACATGCAAACACACATACACACACACGCACGTCACTCACGTCACGCACTTCATACACACCCCGGTTGGAATGCACCAGGCTTGCCGGCTCCTCAAAACCGTGTTTTTTAAATATCTAGACGCATCAGGATGGCCGAGCGTGGCAGGCGTTTTCCGTGATTCCGTCCAACAGAAATTTGCTGCTAACAACTTTCACTGCTTTACATTTTAGTGTGTGTGCAAAAATCGTCAATATGTCGTTTGATTCCTAAGCTGCGAAATTGCCCATTAAAAAATTCACATGTCAGCATGCGAAACATAGGCTTACCCGCTGACTGAATTTGAGTTTGTAGAATTATACATGAATTTAGTGAGTGTTTACTATCCGTGTAAAAGTCCCTAAGCGTAAAACTAGCTTCTGTCTTTGTATGTGTCGCCACACAAGAATGCACCAAATGTTTAGGCTATCACTTTTTTTCATCCTTCCCCATCGATTGTCAGACACTCAAGAAAACAGAAATTTTATCAGAAAGCTTGCGTATCTTGTGCGTCATTGAAAGCATGAAATCTGTTTCCAAAAATGTTCAAATTCCGCGTATGGTTACAGCAAATGTGAGGATACATCTTGCCGAAAACACCATGCAAAATTCACGGTGGTCATATATACCGAGGTTAAGATTTCACGCAGCTTCCGATGCAACATTTCTGTCCCAACTGACGCTCTTTTACCCTTCGTGCAGGAAAAGAACAAGACATTAACAATATAAGTGCAAGTTTTAAAATGTAAAGCAATAATCATTACTGTTATCTATCTGACAGCCTTAAATTTAGCGCAAAAATGTATTTACTAGAGGCCTGGCGCTCTTATTATCCGGGTTGCTTTACACAAAAGGCATATGTAAGAAGATGGATGTATGGCAATATTTAACACTAGTGCAACAGTGACAATTGTTTCTTGATGACTTCACTGTAATATTTTCCGTCGAAACCGGTGATGTGCCGTTCTCTCAATTTTCCATCCCACAACACAGAAAAAATAAAGGGAATCCAGTCTTTAATATAATTTTATATATATTCAGATGTACTTATGCTTTATGTAAGTATATCTTTATATTTTATATATTTCTTTTTAATATATACCACGATTAATACCTCTAATTTCACGTCTGCCTTCAAACGGAAATCGAGAAGAGACCTAATTAACATAGAGCGTAGAATAATTTCCAAGATTATGCTATATCTGAATCGATATGAGGTTTTTGCTTGAGAGTTTGTCGGAATTTTGATTTTAGACTCCTGAGTCATCCCCTTCATTCGACTGGAAGTGTATGCGATGAGGGCTGTGCTCCCCACAGTTGTAAATGAGGCCTACCGCCTGCTACTCTATATGCTCACACCACCTTTCCAGTGCTATATGGGAATGCTATGATATACTAAAAGTGCTGATTCATTCGAA